GGAATTTCGCGAACGTGAGCCGAACAGTACCAACTTTGGTACTCTGTTGGCGGAAGAGAATGAAAGAAACTTTACCTGGAAGCTATTCTTAAAGGGAAAGTTAATCACAATCATGGTCTTCCGATAAGGCGAAGTGAAGGGTTAATTCTTTTACCCGATTCACCCGCGAGAAATATAGAGTTAATTACTTGTAATTAGTTAGAAACTTTTTTCTGTTATTCGGCTGTAGGGATCAAACGTTTTGTAAGCTTGAGAAATGATATCGATGTAGGTTACCAAACGGCAGGGATGGGGCGAATGTGTATTCTACGCTGTTCCAGGACAGTCGATAGTTCGAACGTTTAATTTACACCTGTGTGCTGGGTTAAATTCGAAAGAGAAATAGTTTGTTTGGTTTTTGCCCTCCACAGGGATTCCAGTTTAATCTTCACAGAAGTACGTAGTTTCCATTCCATAAAGATTTCTAAAAAATGTAGTGTTCAGATTGACTACTATAAATATTCCACTTATAGTTGGTATCATTCGTTTTCAAAATTTTATTCTGAAATCATTTCTGCTTTTTTTATTATTAGATGAAATGAATAAACGTGTCCGTCACGTATCGAGTAAAACGTTAAGATATTCGAATTGATATTAAAGAATCGGAATATTGCATTCAGGCGAAGGAAGTTTTGCGGGAAATACCAAATAGAGGCGATACTCCAGAAGTCTCTCGATTCAGAGGAGAAAAACACCAGAAATAAAGTTTATGCTTGAGGGATTTCGCAAATAGCGCGCATCGTCATTTTCACGGAGTGAGTACGCGCTTACAGTGGCGCGGTACATGATCGGTCGGCGTAAAACTAAACCGAGATTCTCGCGCGCTCCTGTTTGTCATCTAAGCTCCGCGACGCGAAACGATGCGGCATCCTCGACTAGAGAAGCATGCAACAATTTCCGTATCGCGTATTGATTCGTACAAACGCGGAGGAAATTCCTGTAGGCACGTACGCGAAGTCGGATTTCACGGATGCGCAAGCGGAACGGGGACGGGGACGTGTGTTTGAAATTGGACCGACGCGACGTCTCATACACGTACGACACTTTTCCCCGTACAGTATTTTTTCTCCCTTTTTCTCTGTTTGCGCGTTCTTACCAACCGGAAACCTGCAAACCTTTGCATTATTTATGCGCGTTGGTTTAAAACCCCGCGATGCTGTTTATCATCTAAATAGGAAATACACACGGCGCGAGTAACACGGGGAAATAAAAAGGAATAGAGCTGGGAATGAAAGGCGAGAGGCCGTGTAATTATGTAGGCTGACGTGACGTCGTATTGTGTCTGTGTAGATAATATCTATTATTTTTAACTTTGTCCTGTGTTAAGAGATGCGAGATCAAAGATGAGCTGTCTACCACGTAGAATGTAATCGAGAAAATAATGTGTTATTTCCTGGTTCAAGTACAATAATGTCACATATTCAGTATTCAGTATTCAGAATCAAACTGCCTTCGTATTATTACATTTGTTCTTGTAAAGCTTTTATAGTATTAAAAGGTTTAAGGAGTTAGGGTAGTTACTTCTCTAACATTTGTCACTACATTTTTGACGTTTTTTACTGTGTTCTTCATATAAACATTTGTTTTCGTCTCTAAATTTTATTTTACTCTGGCTATTTTGTATTTCATTATATTACTGCATACTGTGTTTCTATAAATTATGGAAAATTCCCATAAATGCATGAATATCCGCAGTCTACCTGGTTTGAAGAAATAAAAGCATAGAAATATGAATAGTTGTACAATTTTATATGTACGTATGAATTCTGGATGTAGAACATTTTCCTGCTTCATTTCTCGTTATATAAATCATAAGTCATTCTCCAACGCAACGCACGTAGAGATACACTCATTCATAAAAATTCTTCGCATTAGATGTTGTAATCTTTGCAAACCTCAGTAATGTTCCGCCTACGCTTCAGATAAAAACATTGCACTAGAGATCTGTCTCCTCGGCAATAATCATAAGTGTGCGAAATCTAGCGTGTTGCGTGATAGTACACAGAGAATAAGAAACGAGTGCTCGAACCGCCGACGCCGCTGTAGAAAATTCGTTGTGGAAAGTCGGTAGTCTGGTTGAAAACCTACACCTCCTCCAGTATCTATCCTCATCCCGTAGCCCGGCAATAGCGGATGGGTAGTCCCTCGATCGAGGGTAAAGTAAAGCTCGAAGGTGTATTTGCGAAACGACTTCGAAAGAATCGAACGATCCCCCTTCCCGTCTACGCGCTGCATTGTATCGCTCCGCGCCGAGCGGTATCCTTTATCCGCGCAACTTCTGTCTGTCTGTCTGTCTGTCCCCGGTCTCCTTGAAAACATCGCACAATTTCCCGCGATTCCGCTGTAAAGGATTTCATCTCTCGCTGCTTTCGTCGTAACACCCGCAACTGCACTTTATGTCCCGCGCGCGAGTTTATGAAATTCAAATATTCCGCGTTACGTTCGCCGTTGTTGCGTTCTATGTACGTTCCGGAAAAGAAAAACCGAGCTTGCCGGGATGAAGAATTAAAATACGTGTATATGTTTGTATGTACACGTAGGATGTCTGTGTATGCATGTATTTATGGATGTACATACGTGTGCAGGATGCTGGAAAAGGATTTCACGTTGTTGCAGCGCGTAATCTCGCGAAATTAGGAATAAATCGTTTAGACGTACGAATGAAATTTAAAGGAACAATATAATTTGCAGTACACTTTCTGATGTCGTTTACTAGTTTCGAAGATGAAATTGTGAGAAACGTTTAGTCATTTTAAGTAATGACTATGCAACATACATAGCTTAATAAAATCTAGTAGAAAATGACAGGCTACATTGATTAGTGCATTAAAAAACACACAATTTCATTTGAGAAGAACATGTATCATGTGATGTCTGTCCATCCGCTGATGTCAGTGTCCGTCCACTTGGTTTTTATTAGGATTAGGATTATGAACCTCTCAAAATCCTTTGCCTCTTATCTTAATTATCTTTTTGTACGACACACAATTTTCGAGTAATGTGCATTTGTAGATTAAAACCAAATACTTTGTACATATTCGTTACGTTCCTCATTTCGTTATACCAGTCTTTTTATGGCCGATATAAACTCCCAGAATGAGGTTAATAAAAAAATGTTCATTGCAGAGCATAATTTACATCGCTGGATGAAAAATGCATTTGAATACTCGCAGATAGAGCAGTAATTCTTTTTTTTACCTAAGAGAATATGTGATCCAACAGAATTTACCCATCTGTCCCCGTTGAAAAAGTAATATATTAGTTGGAAAGTAATTTAAGCTGCGTACGTTTCGTCGATGAATTTAATGGAAGATGTGCGTAATGTATTTCAATCCTTCCACTTGCGTTTCTGTCACTGTTTCATTAATATATTTCTTTTCCTCTCGTTCTTTAATATACTCCATGTACATATTTTTTTAAATGTTTCTGTATTATCATACCCATACAGATACTTCACAGCTTCCCGACAAATTTACTAAATACTGCATCACAGAATGCACTGATGTTTTGCGTTTTCTAAGAGTTTATCATAGTATTAAATGGTAGTAACACGTGATTCAATTAGAATAGAAAGTGGTGTAGCATTCTTTATACGCTCGTTGAGGATGCTCTATTTAGAACATATTTCAATCAGTTGAGTGATGATATGCTGTTAACATGAAGTTTACGCTCTCCGACGCATACAGTATGGTTCATATTCACGCGCACATTATCGTCATACATATTTCGATCGATACATGGAATGAATCAATCAGTTTTACCACTTGAATATTTTCGTTACTTCGGAAGATAAATTTCCACTTCCATCTCTCTTTTCGACTATACCTAGTGTATCAATCACTAAGTCACTCACATGTGAATCTTTTATAAATGGACGTACAGCCACTTTGATTTATTTTATTTTTTAAAATACAAAATTCATTTTTTTATTGTTTCCAACAAAGAAGCGTCGGATCCGATATGAAATATTGTTGACCAGGATTTACAAACTGTATTATACATACATATCTATAAAGACAATCGGTAAACTTTTGTGGCATATTTTCTCGCATATTCAAAACAACGTGCTCCCCGGCAAAACAGATACACGGTCTTCGCGCAGTCCGGAACGAACGGGACAAACGCATCCGGTTTTCTCTCCCTTTTCTACGGCTGTTCTTCCAGATAATGACGACGTATGGGGTGCAGCGAGTAGTTGGTGTTGCATAGTTTTTCCGACCGCGGGCCGCGCCGCTATCGCGGTACATTCCGAAACGGACGAAGAACCGCGTGCCGCGCGAACAAGCTGCGAAACTACCTAGAACTGTTTGTCCGAAAGTGACGAGGGAAGTCCGGCATGCCGGGAACCCACAGAATCCGTGTTTGTTCCCGGATGAGAAAATAGTGACGCGCCGCGGACTGTACCTATCCCCGTATCTGCCGCCTCGTAAATTTTCACCGCTGCTCCTCGGTCTACTCGCTCGTGAAATTCGTTTTCCGTTGTTCTTTTCCCGACCGCGGATACCCAGCTTATCAGCATAGCCACTTCTCTCGGCTAATTCTCGGAAATAACCGTAAATATCTTAAAACATTTTCTATCTATGTATAAAATTATTTTATGTCTAAATTATTTATAAACTTTGTTGAATTATTTAATAATATACATAATAAAAATGAATCTTATTTATTATTAAACCCTACCCTTAGCACACCGTGTTTCTAACACGAGGTTATTGAACTAATTAATTGTGTGTGACTGTTTATTGCCAGAAGCCTGAGTCACACACACTGTGCAGGATCAACATCAGTTTCTTTCTAATAGGACCCCAAGAACTTTTTTAAGAACGGTAGCCTCCCAAGCCGGCAAAATAGAAATTAGTAAAAGTTGCATACAAAGAGTTTTATTTATTAACCCATTTCCAATAAACTTTATATCACATTTTTCAAAAAGTGTACTGATTGGTTTATTTATTGTTTTGCAGATAGCTGTTGACACAGACATCGAAGAAGGGTTCCACTTTGTGCTCGTGGTAAGTTTTTAAAGTATCTACTTTTATTCGAACACAGAAGACACACTAAATAATAGGAGCATCGTGAAATACAAGCAGAATTTAGACTAATTCGATAAAGGTTAGATACCGCAATTACCTGTAATTATACTGTAGTAATAACACTTAATTTAACGCTGTATAAACGGGAAGCCATACACACTTACAAGTGGCTCATATTAAAACAACATTCCTTTCGCAATTACCCGTGTAATTTATCGTAATTTGAATCGCGATTGAAGAGGCAGGCTTGTTTTCGCTGAAATATTTGCGTTTGTTGAACCTCAACATATAATATAAGGAATTTATATTAAAGGTAATAAGCAATTGTATTAAACTCCTGTTTTGCGATTTAAATCTCTGATATCAATCGTGAAATATGACGAGATACAGGGAAATTATAACGAGTACATTTTATTTATTTCGATGGCGTTCATTATTTTCGTCTTCGCTTTGCTAATCGTAAATCGATAGCAGAAGGGATATTCACACGTTTCGAGAGTAATAAACTTTTGACTAATGCGCACTTTATATTCACCGCTAAAGTACGAGAATGTAAAGGTTCATGGGGAAATTAAATATGGAGGAATTAATTATTTTAGATTAAATGTGGGCAATTTAAATATACATACAATATAAATACAGTATGCAGATTTCATGATACAATATGTGAAACAAACTTCATGAGTGGCATGCTTTCTCAATTTGTTAAGACTCTTAGGACATTTTTATTATTAAAAGAAATTTGGGGATGATAGCGCTTTTCTAATATCGGACTCGTATTTAGCGGTTCAAAATACATAGGTATATCATGATCATACATAAATAATCAAAAAGATATGTTGGAAAACTACCCCAGCCCCTTAACAGACACTGACCGGTGAAAATTAGAGTTGAATAACATTGACAAAGGGTAATTCGATTCGCTCGTGGCTTAACCCCAAGATAGACTCTAACGTTTAACCTGACCATTCCCGTTGATGGGCTTGACTTTGTGTGCATTACACCATGCACCGCAGTAAAGCAGTGTTTACAGTTCTGTCTGGTTGCTTAAGATTATTTGATGTATTCCTCTTTGATCTAGATTAACCACTGTAAACCAATCGCGTCTAATCTATAAGCTGTGGTTCACCATTGCAATTTATGGTTCACCATTGCTAAATATTAAAATATGTAAATATAAGAAATCGTATGTTGAACTACTTCTTGTCATTATTAAGTTTGCAGTACAGAGGTTTTAATAGTTTCCCGAAGGTAATAATAGCATATTGGATGACTGTCCATTTACATAACGTTTGCTAAATAGTTACGTCTAGCTTTAAAAAATGTACGAAAACAACTTCAGTCACTAAAGTTCAAATCAACCCTGAGCCATAAGGCTTACAGTGACCTCTCCTCCAAATCGTCAAGATATTTATATGCCCAACTTTTAAAAGAAATCAGATTTTGTCTCAACTCAGTAAAAACAACAGACCTCTTGAAATTTTCATCGTCGTATATACTTCCGTTCTTGGAAATATAAAGTTTTATCATCATCGTCCGAGCTTATTTTCCATACAGATCCCGAAAACAACAAGCAAATTAACTTTTAGTTATTTTCCTGCAATTTCGATCAGCTGGAATTTTTTTAATATTGTAGTTATACATCACGCAGCAAATAAATCCCTGTAAATTCTAAAAAAAAAATCAAATTGTATAAACCAATATCAAAGAAATTATTCTACTTTAAGGTATACGAATACTTTTATAATCGTGGTTTTAAATGTGTTTCAAAACTACTCTGATTTCCCTTCGCACTAAATTAATCATTTTGCTTCTTATTAAAATGAATGAAAAGTCGCTAATTAGTGTGATTCCGCGAATAACCGGTAATTGAATATGAAATAATGATTAGTAAGTGGAAAAGGAAGCCGGTAGCCGTGTAAGTCTTATCATATGATCCCGTGTCTGCTACGTACTAATGCAATTTCCTGCCTTCCCATCCGTTTCCCTTTGCTTCCGTCAAAGTCCAGGTATCCTTTTATACGTACGTCGATTCGAACCAGATCGCCGTGGAAAATCAAATCGGTTTGCACTGTCGCCTCTGATGAAGTTCGAGAAGATTATATCACGTAGAACTTAAATGGAAATAGATACTCTGAATATACACGTATCGGGTTATAGAAAATATATTTATTTGAGATTGATAGTATATTTGCGATTTACTTGAGGATAATCATAGATTAAATAGATGCAATTAATTTTCTGTGATCTGCCCATAGCGATCGATCACTTTGGTAATTAGAAGCTTGGGCAAAGACAATATTACGAGAGTTATTGGTAATTTCGATTGCATGGACCTTAGCTTCGTGCGTGCAGTGATCCGGGTAATTTTGCGATATTGGTTTTCCATTATGACGCATAAATAACGCGATAACTTTAAGAACAGTTTGCATAATGCATAAGAAAAGAAATGGCAGTAAAGAGAAGATGATAAAAACTCGATGGGCACAAACTAAAATTCGAATCGAATAAATTTTGTTCGCGACAGATGTGATCGATGCTGAAAACGTCTGCGCATCGTATTACGCCGTTTCCTCTCGCTCTATGGTCAGAAGTTACATCTGGAAAAATTGCACGGGATAGCAAGTCACGAGCGAAGTTAAAGCTCGTTAAACGTGTTCAGCCTCGAGAGATAAATCGCGTTAAAACGTACGATATTCGTCCGACCGAGTTTGCTCGAGCTGAAACGCCGTTCGAGCAACGGCAATCACCGTTCCACGTTCAGAGTTTCCCTCTTTTTCCTCTGCTCTTCTTCATCGAACAATTAGTACAAAACCCAAAAACTAAAAGAAATAGCGAAAAACGAGGGACAAAGAGATGAATTGCTGTATCGGTCGAAAGGAATTTGAAGGCCAACAATAGGTGCGAAAACCATGACGCGCTGTTTGTGCCGTGACAAAGGAACCGGAAAAATGATTTTCAAACGGTAGTAAAAAAAGTGCGAACGAATGGCGGAATTAATTTCTCTCTTTTGACAGCCCAGTATGTATGTACGGACGACTCGTCGGTTCGGATTTCGCAAATTGCAATAATAAAAAAAAAGAACGTTACGGAAAAAAGGAAAAGCACAACGTTGACGCTGTCAATATATGTTTAAATCAAACTCGAATGAAAACAATCGCAAGTGTCGTTGAAAATCTTTTTATATAGTACCGATAACTGACCAGCTTTCAAGAAATTTTCGAAACAAATAAAAACAAAATTAGTACTAATTTACTTTCCTTACTTCTCTGTTAATGTTTAAATTCAATTTTTCGTAAAAAAAAAATTGGGTGGGAATTTCGGAGGTAGGTTCGACAGATAAAAGATGCTAATATTTTTATAATGACACGATGTCAAGGAGTTATGTATATAAACGATGTTAATTCTTATCGGGTAACATCGACACATCCTCTGTCGTCCGAGGTATCTACGATGACCGTAAAATATATTATATCCGACTTTTTATGAGTTGCCTATAAACCATGCCCGATACGAGAGTAGTATCTGACGCGCAATATTTCATCGCGGCCATTTTACTGTAAACAAAGAGAGGTGGATAATACATATCTATCTACGGTATGTACACAGAAAGGTTCTATGAAGTACGGTTTACTCAATAAAAGCGCGTAATAAAAAAGAAGACCTATTTACATATGTGAAATATTGCTGACTTTTATAACGTACCATTTTTCCTATATTTGGTAATCACCGTATTTAATGAAACAAGGCAAGAATATAATAGTAGATAATTCACAGTATAGATTTAACCAAAAACACTTTGATAATCGACCATTTAAAAATCTTCGAAATTTCTTACCGATCCCCAAAAAAATTATTTTTATAAGATTATTTATGTGGTTATACATTTTCATACATGGACTTTACAATTTTACAATTATACATTTATATTTTAATATATGTATTAACAATTTTATGATAATCATTTTAATGTTTCTGATTACTGACAATGAGTTATATTGATGGGATGATTTTGTGCAAGATTAGCAATATTAGGATATATCGATTCCCAATAATATTGACCTCAGGGGTTCGACATCAACCACTTCGGCTGCTCTAAACTAGAAAACAAGAGCAAACAGCACGAAAATATTTTCGTTTCGATAGAATTAACAATGCAAGAGGTAGATACGTAATTCTTTGAAAGTAACGTTTTTCCAATGCGAGAGCTTGTGGAAGGAAGCACGCTTTGCGGTTCTTCGATATAGTCGCCTGGTAATGCCACCCCGATAAACTTCGTGGATGTCCACTCTAAAAGAAAACAGGGTAAAAAATAGCAAGAAGGAATACTAGAAGAGACGGTACAACGTCAACAAAAAGAATCGTACCGTGAAAACAAATCCATAAAATAAATATAAAAATGTGGGAGGGAATGGGAACATTTATATCCAATGAATCCTCGTAAATTTGCTTCGCACCAGTCGATAGGTATTCTCTTTATTGTCCGTGTTTATCCTCTATAAATGAGGCTTATGTTGTTTCATTTACCAATGCAACTATTGTTTCTTGTCATAGAGCGAATTATGATTACAATTTGCAAAAGAAATGGTGAAATCGGAATGGAGAAACGGTAGAGATTTTAAGTATTAAAAAACTGGAACTGGAAATGAAGAATAATTTGTAAGATGAGTGGGACATCTTTTTGTATTCTACATAATCAAAAATATATAAGTTAATATACCAGGATATATTGTGAAAATTGACATGATGAAATGCTTCAAATTTTAACAAGTTCAAACGTTTATAAATTGGCATTTAATAATGTGGTTAATCAAATTTATGACACCTGTTTACAACGATAATTTACAGGTTCGAGCATATTACATGTGAATAGCTGAGATTAAAACCCGTTAATGATGTGGCACCGATGCAGAATTGGTATTATCGAGCCGTCAATTAACAGCTTTTACAAACTTTAGTTTATGGTCACTTTAAAACATTGGT